AGAAGTTATGGTAGTGTTTATATGAAAAGACTTAGCTAAAGCTTTAATTTCTTCAGTTCTAAAATTATATTAAATTTTAAAAAAGTCAGAGTGGTGGTCTTGAAAAGAAACTCTGTTAATGTTTTGACATCATCAATATCAATTATAATTGTGTATAATGCCAAAGTAGTGATAGCAATATTTTTATGGAAATTTTGGTTGTTCCATTATAAATAATTCCGCTAATTTTGTAGATGTTTAAGTTTTTTACTTGTTCGTGGAAACATTGCAATCAAAGAACATTGAACATCAAAAGCTCCTTCATAAAGAAAATTTTCTTTAAGCCAATTTATGACACCATTACCCAAACAATGTCCACAAGATGTAGTATAACTTGTATACTCAAATAACGGTCTTGAACAAGTTGGAAGAGTAATCTTAAAAGGGATTAGTTGAGCTTGTTCTTCAAAATTTAGTGATAAGAGACATGTTCTTATAAGTTTGCTAATAAGTTTGCTATTGTCTAATCTGGTAGTTGGTTCGTTCCATAATATTGGTATAATAATTCTACACCAGTGACGGTTTGCGAGAAGACATGAAAATAAACATTTATAATTATCCCGAAAATGGTTAAATATTTCGAAAAGACATTCGTTCGGTAATGATATCATTGATGTCTGATGTCTGATAAGTAATAATCAGTCGCAATAAGCAATAATAAGTACTGATACGTAAAAATACGTAAGGATAAAAAAAAAAATAAGTATTTATTACTGACGTCAAAACAAATCTTTTATATAATAAGCTGAGTGTCAACCCAATTTTCCAATGTCAAAACCAACCTTTCCAAATATATTAACGAATGAAAAATCAAATTGCGTCGAACGTTTTATGCCCATAATGTTCAAACAAATATTTGAATAATGATATTTCATCATTATTTACTAATTCTTCACATATTTTACAATATTTTATATTCTGGCAAAAGTTACAAGAATCTACAAGGGTGAACGTGTATTCGTTGGTTAATAACATTGTAAAGTGGACACGTTGGCTGATTATTTTTTCTAAGCAAATGAACTTATGGGGATTTATACTTAGTACGTATGTGTTTATACTTATAGTAGTTAAAAAAGTTTAAGTTTCTTTAGAAGAAAATTACTAAGTCTTGCAAATTTTAACTGCTAGGCATATTAACGTGGCACGATTATGATGTTATGTATAAAAGATCTTAATTTATTACTTTAGCTTGCATAATTTTTAAACATTACTTATTAATTGTGGATGTAAAGCACTGACTATTTGATGGTAGGTTTTAGTTTTGAGAAATTGCGATCAAAGCTCGTGTTACATGATCTATTCATAGATATAAATTTTTTGTACAAAGGCACATTCTTGAATTAGACCCAGCTGCGAATCACGGAATCTCTATTAATTTTATACCCTGGTCGCTATATCAAGATCGCAGGGCATAAATCAGTTATACCCTGGGCACTATGTGTATAAGCGGGAATTTCGGATATAACTATTACAAATGCTATTTTTTTCAAATAGCTAAACTACCCATTATAAGTATAAATTGCGTATGCATTTTAAATTTTTTCCACCTACGAAATAACTTATCAGCGTGTACTAATTCAGGGTTTTCTAAAGGGCTTAAAAATTGGTGGAATTAAATAGACCCGAGTCTCGTATACGCACGCACACTTACGGTATTTTTAGAGCGTTATATCTTAGAAAATTTGATTTTTTCAAACCTAAAAATCTCAATTCTTTATTAAGCTAACGTATAATAAAGATTATACTATATATAAATAAGAATAAATATTTAACTTGAATTAAAAATCTTAAAATTGGCCAGAAACTGTCAAACAGTGATTTTCCTAGCAGATTATACAGTTATTTTTATGTTTTTTATGATCGAGTGACAAATATGTAACCTGTCAGCGTCATAAGCACAATCACTGGGGGTTACATAATTTTGCAAAGCCAATAAATTAATGCTCAATTAACATAAAATTATAAAAGTTTTAGCATATCCTTTTTTTATTTGTATCGCAGAAACAAGTATATGCTCGGATTAGAACTAATTTTCTCCGTCACATACCATCGTAATAATAAGTGCTCAAGATAACAATTCTTCGGATATCTCATGAAATTGTCTTGTTATATCCTTTTTTTTTTGTTATATTTAGCTCGGTATATCTTTTTGTTTTTTGCCAAAATGTGCCCAGTCCTCGAAGTGAACAAGCTAGCACATTAGTTGGTACTAAACTTTATTTTTTTGGCGGAAGCACTTCTTTTACAAGTGTTTCTAATGAAGTTTGGTATCTTGATTTATTGAGTTCATTTAATGCTTCTACGCCCCCGTGGCATAGTGATGTTACAATGCCAGTAGGGTATAACTTGGGTAGTTCTTGCCTTAGCCCTATTGATAATTCTACGGTTTTTTTAGTCGGAGGAAGAACATGGATAATTACTTCAGTTACTACAGATTATTATTCATATATATCATCAGTATATAAATTTGATTCTAAGACTTCTCAATGGACAACACCAACTATTAATAATTTTAATTCTAACTTTGCAAATCGTAATGAAATACAAGCTGTTATTGACAATAATGGGAAGATTTTTATTTTTGGCGGATATAAGTAATAGTTATTTCCTGGGCAGTTGGGTATAAGCGGGGCTGAAAGTCCCGCTTATCACATAGTGCCCAGGACATAACTGATTTATGCCCTGCGATCTTGATATAGTGACCAGGGTATAATTATAATAATTCAACAGTTATTTATTATAATGACATGAACATACTTGATATCACTACTATTACTTGGTCAACACCAACTCAGACTGTCTTTACTTATGCCGACTATACTGCTACATTATTACCAAGTGGTCTTATTATTTATATTGGTGGGCGTAGTGGTTCATGCATGTTGACAAGGGTCAACAGATCGAAAAGACAGGGAGCACGGGGCAGGGGTTTACGATAGGTACTTGACTCGGCGGTACCCGCATCATAAGATCTATCGGTGGTTAAAATCGATGTCAGATCAGATTTCACGCTAAAGCAGAGGACACATGTCCAACTCGGCCCGGTTACACGCATCAAGGATCAGTATCAGTCGGTAAAAATGAAATCATCGACTGATTGAAAATTCATGCGAATTCGAAAAAGCCACCAAAACGTCAATATATAAAAGTCGTCGAAAAAAGCCAATTCGACACACTCTTTCTCACAAGAACCATTTCATTTAACTTGCATTTTCTCGAATAATTTTTCTCAAAAATTTTCTTGGATAATTGTCTTAAAGTAATATCATAAACATAATAAATAAACGTTTTAAGGATAACAATATAAACAGTAAATAGTAACGCATAGTAATGCACATAATAAATTTATAGTTATAGAATAGTTATTGACAGTAGTCGTTTAGCTCTCCACATTCGATCATGAGCCAATCCGAGCCCGAGTCACATGACTCTACGAAAGCAAAAGACAACCTTCCTCAACCTGCAACAACCACGCCTGCTTCCAGCAGCACGACGGTGGGGGACGTCAACGGCCGGATATTAACATCGACCCATACATAAAGTCATACATCAACGAGTCGATCCGGGCATTGACCACATCGGTTGTCAACTCTATCAAGCAGTACATCAACACCCAGTTCGACAGGCAAAGATTATGGAATGAGCAATTGCAATCTAACATCAACAACACGCTTGCCAATCTCTCACAATCAGGAAATGACAACAGCACCATACCTCGCACATCAGCTTCGACTAGCCATACAGAATCTCCGCAGCACCCACATCACCCGATGGATGCACCACAAGCATGTGCAACAGAGCAAGCGACTCGAGACACCCAAACTACAGGTAATAATTCTCCGACCCCAACACTAAATAATTTGATTATGGCAACTTCGAGAATGAGTCTGCATCCACAGAGCCCAGGAGCACTGGCAAATCAGGCATTACCGGCATCAGTAGCGGTGAAGTTGCCTGTACTCAAATTGGCATCAAGGAAATACCCATCCATCGATTATACGCAATTCGATTAGTTGCATGAGATTCAAAGTTTTTCAAACCCGCATGCCACAAGGACTGAGAGTATACGAATTTTGTGGGTCACCAACTGGCAAGAGGGCAAAAAAATCATTGAAAGCCTCCCATACAAGCCCAACATTTCAACCAAGTTATAGAAATCAATAGCATTCAGCTCGTATGTGAACTTATAAGATTTCTCATACAAAAACCTCCTAATCACTATGAAGGAAACCGAGGACGAACCTGTGCTGCAGTCAACAGAAGGGGGTTCCATTTCTATTAAGAAACGCTCATGCCACACAGTGTTCGTGGATATATCGGAGTGGCTCCTTGCCTTCAAGTCTTATATGGATGCGGTCCTATAATTTATAAGAACCGGAAGCAAGAGCTAAACGGTTACAGAAATCACATCAACAAATTATGCCTGCGGCAAAACTTTTATGCGGTGATGGCATACGACGAGGACTGTAAAGTGATAGCTGTCACGAACCGTGATTCGACCCTCCTTGACCATGACACTAAAGTCGAGAGGTGGAATTTCGATGCAACTACAGTTAAGAAACAGAGGACAAATACATATTAAGATTAGACACTGAATGGCCGGACGGAAGGGAAATTTGTATTAACTGGAACAAGCGATCTTGCAAAGATGAGAAACTTTGCGGAAGAGTCCATGCTTGCTTGATATGTAGGAAAACGAACCATAGCGAGCAACGTTGTTTTAGGAAAACAACTCAAGGAAGCATAACATACCCGACGGCAGAAGAACCACGCAGCAATAACAATTGCTTGTGCTTCCACAGTGCTACGCGCGAATAATAATACTACATAAAAAAAAAAAAAAACAACAAAACTCAAACAAAACAAGGCCAGAAAAAAAAAAAAACCAACAAGCACAACACATAAACAAAGCAAAAAAAAAAAAAAAAAAAACTCATAGTATATGGGAATACCAATAGAGTATGACCGATGGAGCACGGTATTGGGACACGGACCCAACAATGGCAACAACATTAGTTTGTGCATCTATGGACAATAGCAATTTCGTTAAATAATAATAATAATAATAATAATAACAATGTGTATAGAAAAAAAAAAAAAAAAAAAAAATAGAAAATCAAAAAAAAAAAAGGGGGCAAACACATATGCAGGTCATCGTTTAATGAAGTCCAGCTGTGGCGCGATTCAAGCATGATTAATAAATGGGCAATGCATAGGAAACATATATATACATTATATATATATATATATATATATATATAGGGACGAATAGTATAATAAAAAAAAAAAAAAAAAACAACAAAAACAAAACAAAATGAAAAAAAAAGAAAGAAAGAGCAAGAGAAAATCGCTGGATGAGTATTCGTCAGGGCGTCCCTACGACTTCAGACTCACTCTCGACGGAATGGACAGGCTATGACTAATCTCCTCGCATTTCTTCAGCCACAGAGCTTTATATTAGGCACCCTTCACAGTTCAGACTCACCCGTGGAATTACTTTACACGAGCCTCTGGGTCTTCAATCAGCTGACAACACATTGACGGCAATCCCACCTCGTAACAAGCCTTTAACTTCTGTGGAGCACGAAATCCTAGGGCAGCTCGATTCCAAGGTCTTCAATATTTCTACACCTATCAATATAGATGTATTCACTTGTCTGATGGCCAGTCACCAAATCGGCCTTTCATCTCCTACTTAATGGAGCAAAGGACAACTATTGTCCAAGAGAACCTGAGCTCAATAGGGGTCGACCCAGAATATTTTTCAAGGTATATTTAAGACGAGATAGCACAAGAACATATGTGCGGCCCGTTTTCTCCACACCAGCCTCTGTGCCAATTTTTTCAGGTGAATCCTTGCAGGTTGGTGGAAAAGAAAGATACCAACCCAAAGGTGTATCAGGTAGTTTCACACTTGTCAGCCCCTTTTGCTGCCAGTATCAATGATGGAATTGACCGGATTGAGTTCAGCATGCAGTATGAAAATGTCAACCACGCGATCCGATGGATCACACACTACAGCAAAGGGTGCTACTTATCGAAGATTGACATCAGAGACGTGTATAGGATCATTCTAGTCCACCCTGTCGACCAAGTGCTACAAGGTATAACCCACAATAACCAGCTATATTTCGACAAGGCTTTGGCATTCGGCAACTGGGCCTCGGGCGGTATATTTTGCAGGTTTGCCGACATGCTAACATGGATCGCAGTACAACAAGGTGTATGGTCAATTATCCACTACGTACATCAGCAAAAATATATATACGTAAACTTTCGTAAGTTTTTATGGTGCATAAAAAAATCGTAAACTTATGTAAAATTTAGCGTAAAACTACGTAAATCTTACGGTGCGTAAGAAAATTGTAAATTTATGTAAAAATTTTATGTTGGTTTACGTAAATCTTACGCACCGTAAAAACTTACGAAAATTTAAGGAAGTATATAAAAATTTATAAATCCTAAAATTTAAATCTCAAGAAAAATAAAACTATTTATGAAACTTTTAAAGAT